CTGGAGTTTGGTGGGGAGGCGCAGTGGCATGGTGTGTCAGGCAGGATTCACTGGTGCTGTGCAGGAGCAAGTATGTGTCACATGCGTGTGGGGTGGTGCCTGCTCCAGTCTGCCTGTCTTGCTCCCGTACAGCACCAGCGGTGCCTGCCCGGCCACCTGACGGGTGCACCATGCTGCTCCACCTCCCTGCTGGACTCCAGCCCAGGACTTTTGACCAACTACCTGGGATTGTCAGAATCTGGGAGTGGCCCAGCCAAATCGGGATGTGTGGTTGCCATACCTATTCTTGTTCGAACTTTTCCATAAACTTTGAACTGTTGCTGTCTTCTTAGCAAGACTACTCAAAGAAGCAAAATTTAATTTAAAATGTTGCGAGTATAAACATAATTGCATATTACTGAACAATTTGCAGTTTGTAATTCACTATGGATTACTTGAGAAACTCTTTTGGTATCGCTTCTATACTCTAATTAGATGAATTATGTAACACAGCATGAACTGTATATTCTATTATAACACTCACAGTTTGTGTAGTGTTGGTTAGTTACATTAATCATTCAGTTAGGGAAGAGAAGTAGTGCCATATGATTTACTATACATTTGGAACCCACAGAATGCAAGTTGTGGGTATGTGTAGTTTGTGAATATTCCATAGAAGGCCAATCATTTCCTGAAAAATATTCTAATTAAGAAGCTAAAAAGCAAATGGATGTGAGAACTTTCTCTCCATTTCCAGGCAGGTTGTATGCAGGAATATATTGACTGCAAATTCACTCAAAGCAAATGCTCAGACTTACATTAAGTATATAATACATGTCTTGACTGCAGGGCTTTCAGTGTTTTTGACAACAAACACACAATTTTCCTCTAGACTCTTCTTTCAGTAATGAGTTGAGCAAGAATTTAGAGGCAATAGGCCCAATTATACTCTCACTTTCACCTGTAGAAAACACAGATGAATTAGAGATGTATACCCAATAACTTCATATAAAATGTCCAAGAAAAAAAAATCTTACAGAACAATAATATTGCTGAGAACAAAGTGAGCATAGTTATTCCACACCATATAGGTTCTGTAAACCACATGGCTGTTACAGAAGCAATTCCACTACCACTGGAAAAAATTACTTGCAATATTTAGCTTTTGAGCTACGCAAGAACCATTCAAACCCTATGAGTGGTGACTGTGCCTATGAACAGAGAATGTATAATGAATGCTCTTGGTCAAGTAATGCCCAGCTACAACTAAAATTATTTTGAATGGCTTTTAGAATGGGCTTCAGCTGCTTTTATTTTCTGCCTGGCTTGGTCTAAGGGGAGCCAAGGTTATGTTATCTCATGCCACATTATACTGGGTCAGACAGGACATCTATTTGTTAAAAGCCAAAATACCAGGAGGTAAATAATGCAATATCACATAATCCAAGGTGAAGCAATTTAGTGCTTACTGACCATGGTCTTTGCTGATCCACTCTGCTAATATAGAGAGCTGCAAATAGCTGACAATTAGTTGTTGTGTTAGCTGCTAAGAAACTAGCCGAATTCATGTATATTTCAGATGGGTGCAAATGTTTTGTAATGGAAGTTCTGTACCTCCTTTTAAAGTCTTTTGAAATGGGGTATGCCGTTCTAATCTCCAGATGTATGTATGTACCTTCTATTCCATGAATAGATGTTGCTTATGAGACTGTGATTACTGCTAGAGATAGGCACACTGTGGCCTAAACTTGAAAACAATACACTAGTGGTATACATGACCCCACACTTGGCTGAGTGGATGCACCTACACAAGACATTTATTTTGCAGTTGACTAATTAACTGTGCAGTAAACATCTCGGCATCTATATGTGCGCCCCTATTAGAGGGCATGAAACTAATAAAGTTCCAATAAAGCCCTTTTAGGGCTGCAGAGTGTTTTCATGCACAGCAGTGCACATGTAGATGCTAACTGGCTGGGGCACAAGGGTGCTTCAGTGCCAGGGCTGCCTGCTGACTAGCCCTACACTGAAGCATCCTTGTGCCCCAGCCAGCCCCTCCACACCACACTCAGCCTGGTTGGAGCAGCTCTGGGTTGGCAGGCTGACCGTGTGGCCCCCTGCCAGCTGGGGCTGCTCTGAACAGGCTCCATGTGTTTTGAATGAGAAAACTCCGGAGTTAATTGCTCTGTAGTTATTTGCTGCCATGTGCATGTTCAAATGGTGCACCCAGGAGCAATAAACTCTGGCGCAACAAGCTCTGGAGTTTATTTACATGCACTAATTGCACATGTAGATGTGCTCAGTCTGTCAGAAAATAGTATTTGGTTCTCAGTGCTGGTTTATGTGAGGAAAAGACCAGTAATTTCCCTCCTTCCTCTCTAAACAAGTCAGTGGTTCTTCTCCTGCAATGTCTGAAGATAGCAGTCCAGTTACTGAAGGCAATCCATTTACCAAATATACCAGAGGGAGTGAAGACAGTAGCCAGTATCCTTTTCCACAAGAAGATAACCCCAGGAAAGGTTGAAGGATGATTGTGTTTGGATATATGAGCTGTTGTGGTCCTCCAGAATTTTAGCTAATCTGGCCAAACATCAAAGTCAGAACTTCAATTGGTTTCTCCTATCACTTGAATTATGTAGAGTTGATCTTTCAAACCAGGTGTACAGTTCACTTTTATATTTAATTTGCTCATGTAAAAGTAACTTTGTAATCCATCCTTACTTCTCATGTACTTTTGCTATAAGAAGCTAACTTAGGGCATGCTTCTGCAGGCATTTGGGCTATATTAATGCTAAGAAATACATATGTTTTTATTTTATTCCACTGGTAGTGAGAGTATTCATGGTGATAAAACTCATTAATGTTTTGGGTACACTGAAGAGAGATGGGGAAGTGTTTCTGATGCTAATCTGGCTGATTTATCAGCTGTTTCATTCATCTAACCCCACTCAGTCTCAAATTTGCTTTCTTCACATGGACAATTTCTCCCCAACTGGCAGGATCAGAACTTGTACAGACCCCCCACGGCCCTTTCAGACTCACAGTCAGAATGCTTACAACCCTGGGTTCAATCCCAACAGATCCACATGCTTATAACATGTTTTATATAGACAAATGACATTTCAGCGTATAGGTCTATCGTATCTTCTCTTCTCTCTTCAGAAACGTTGACAAATATGGTTGCTGTTATACATTGGCTAGACATTTCAAGTGCAAAAACCTCAACATTTCAAGTTAGAAGTCGATTTTCCTAACTAGATTTCAAAACATTTTGTAGACCTCAAAAGAAATCAAAATAAGGACCAAAAACCATGCAAAATGAAAAAAAAAGTCTGTGCTACATTTCATGAACATATTTTCAACAATTCCCAGTATCTTAGCGTAAACCTGTTCCCATCTTTTTTTTCCCTGCTTATTCACCAATCAATGCTTTAACTGTAATCCTACTTAATATGTACCTGAGTGGTTTCCAATAAGTAATATTGATCTGTGTTGTTTTTCAAATGGTGGCTTCTTAGCTTGCTATTTGCTAAGCACTTAAATACTCATTTGTGTGCTAGAGCAATACAGCCTAATCCACAGCTCACTGAAATCCCTGGAAACCTTTAGCTTTAGACCCATAGAAAAGAGAATACATATATATAAACTAGTGCTTTGAAATGTTTCTCAAAGAAACTGCACAAAACTCCTCTTAGTTCAGTTTTTTCAGTACAAATAAGAAATTCAGACCAGGTTTATCAGAAGGTTCCCTAGGGTTTGTGGGCTTTTTAGATTAAGACTAGCTGCATACAAGATAACGGTTACAGCAGACCTAGGCCAATCTATAATTTACATGCAAAATTTTAGAGCAAGTTAGCTTCCAGATGGTCTCCAGTAAAAAGCCACTATTTCACCTAAGCTTATCTTTGAGATTTTTCAAAGCAAATTTAATGTTACAGAACCACAAAGAACTGCAAAGGAAATATAGGTATCGCTCCATGAAACTACATTAAAAAATATTCTAAAGTAAGAAATGTATACTTGTAGCATGAACAGATGTAAAATTTGGGGTGGGAGGAAACCTACTCTAATGTAATAATTTATTTTCATATGAAAGCAGCAAATTGTGCCACTGGTAATGAAATAAATGATAGCTATGATGACTATGTATGTTCTAGAAGATGGAAACATTTGAAGGAACTATCGGCTGCTTTTATATGAAATGAGGTCAGCAATGAAGGTGAAGTGATGCATGTGCCTCTTGGCTGTTCAGTTGCTCTGAACAGCTAGGAATAGTAATACATATACAGCCTAGTAGTTGTAACGGCTTGTGATGCAACTTCTTAAAGTCAGTTATTGGGTAGTGCTCCAGACAAGAATATGAAAAATGTGCTGAAAAATTCATTCATAGCTGTGTGAATTTATTGGGTTTGGCCCTACACCACTAAAATCAATAGGATTCCTTTCTTTGACTTCAATAGGAGCATGGTACAAACCCGGTCTATCTGCTGTCACACACTTGTGTGCTCTGTATAGGACTGGTTTATAATGAATTATTGGGGAATACAAGGAACAAAGTTCAGGTCTAGACCCAAACTTCAGCAAAGTGTGGGCACAGGGTTATTCAATGATGGGATGTTAATTTGTCCCATCCCTGTGAAGTTTGAGTCTAGATCTGAACTATCCCACAGTTTGGTGGCATAGCTAGAGTTTTGCTTCTGGCTATTTTTTACAATGAAGGAAAGCCCCTTGATAGGGACACTGTCTTAATGAGGCAGATCAATCTTCCAAATCTGTCAAGTGCTATAGGATGTCATTCTCCACATCAGCCATGTGAAGAATAAAATAGTAGGGTATAGATAGCATTGCACCCCAGAGACAACTTAAAAAACAAACAAACTCCAAACAAACGGCAGGTCTATCTCTAAACTCAGGACTTCGATAAAATTGCCTTCGATAACTGTAGCCCAATCACCTTTATATTTTTATTAAATAAAGAATAAGAAAGTGTCATTTTCTCATAGACGAGAATTTCAAAAGCTCTACCTAGAATCACTTGTTTCTGCCAATCTATTGTTCATGATGGCGAGAGCACCCACTCCTGCAGAGAAGCCATTTTGTCTGGTGTTGATACAGACATTTCGAGGATAGCCATTGGCCGTCTCTGACAACTGCTTTTGCAAAATGGCCAAGGAGACTTTGTTTGAAGCTGTGAGCTCCCTCATCGAGATCATTTCACCAGAAAGCCTCCTCCCCTCTGTGTCACTGTCATACTGTCCGTCAGTTTCCATAGAGAGGTTATGCCGGCGTAAGCGGGCTCCAGGGGTAATGGCGTTGCGTCGTCCAAGGCGGGCACTTGATTTATGGCACTTTGAACAACATCTGCATCCAAACTTTTTCAACACCCAATTTAAAACTTGCTTGATTACAATTGATATGACATTAAAAAGAGAGTATATGCAACATACCCCCATTAATATAAACATAAAGTTTCCAAATCTATATAATCCCTGATTTTGGTACACAGCATTTTGACTGCTTACCAAGTCTCCAAAGCCAATGGTGCTGAAGGTAACAAAACAATAGTATAAGGAGTCAATGTAGTTCCATCCTTCCACTGCAGTGTACATAGCTGAGGCACAGCAGGAAAGTGTGATAGCAAAAATTCCCAGAATCAGCATCACATGATAAACAGATGGCTTCCAGCCAGGAAGACTGCCCACATTAGAGATTGCTGAACCCCTTCGGAAGTTAGGAGGTAGAAGACCACTTCTTCGCAGCTGTCTCTCACGACAAGTCTTCATGATAAAAGCCAGAAGAGAGATAATACGCTCCAGGAAGAGGTTGAAGAAAAGGATAGTCCCAGCACACCCAAATAGACCATAAATGATGAGGAACACTTTTCCAGCCACTGTTGCTGGTGTGGTCATTCCAAAACCTGCAAAGGCACCGAGATAACGTAGTTACAATGATGACATGGATATTCCAGCATATAACCTATGTGAAACTTGTCCCACCGCTTCCCATTTTACTTCAACAATTGAGTTCTAACATGCTAACCCAGCTAGTGAAATAGTGCTTTCTATAACTCACTTCAAGAGTGAACTATTTTCTCAAAGAGTGAGGGAATGCAGGAGAGGATGACTAGAATCCAAGAGAGAGCAAACAAGCCTGAAGAACTGCTGGAAGCTTGAAAGGAAGCTGGGCAGGAGATTGATCAATCTGGATAGGTCCTTATACATGCTCTTTCTCTTAGCATCCACGCTCTTTGCCACTGTGAGGTAAAGGCTAATGAATCACAGAACCATAAGGTCAGAAGGGACCTCAAGGGTCATCTGGTTGAACCCCATGCAGAAATGCAGGAATCCTCCTCCTACATCTTCCCTGACCAATGCTTATCCAATCTCTTCTTGAAAACCGCCAGTGGACGAGATTCCACAATGTCCCTGGGCAGTCTATTTCACTGCCTTACTGTTCTAACAGCAAGGAAGTTTTTTTTTCCCCTGATAACTAATCTAAATCTACTTCCTTGCAATTTGAAGCCATTGCTTCATGTCATTCACCCTCTTCTTTATGACAGTCTTTCAGATACCTGAAAACTGCCCAAAATTGCTTTTGCTTTTTTTGCTACTGCATCATGTCGCTGACTCATATTAGGTCTGCGATCCACCAAAACCTCAATATCTTTCTCAGCAATGTTTCCACCCAGCCAGTTATCTCACATTCTATATTAGTACTTCAGCATTATTATTCTTCCCTAGAAGTAGCACCTGCCATTTGTCTGCACTGAACTTCATCTTGTTGTCTCTCCAATTAAGTTTTTGAATTCTACTCTTGTGTGTTTGTAATCCTTTTCAGTTTCATGTCATCTTCAAATTTGCTGAGGAAGCTATGGAATACCACTTGAAAACTCTTCCTATTGTGACATTAATCCATTTATAATTACCTTTTTATCACGGTTATTAAGCCAATTAACTATCCACATTCTAGTAATTTAATATAGTCCACATTTCTCCAATTTGCTAATGTGAAGTTCATGTACAACTTTATCAAAAGGTTTACTAAAGTCCAAATATGCTATATCCATTTCATTCCTTTCATCTATTCAGCTAGTTACATCGTCAGAGGAGTAGATCAAGTTGGTTTGTGTGATTTGTTCTTAACAAATCATGAGCTAGATGAACCCATGGTCTGATCCAGTACGGCATCTTTGTTCATAGGAAATTAAGTATAACCTAATAGGGTATGACTACACCAGTTATCATGAAGTAAACTACGGTGAACTTAAAGCATGTTATCAACTCTGTGGCAATTATCTCTGTGCATACCTACATCCTGGTAAGGGTGAGGCAGGTTTCCTTCAGTGGAAGTGGTAAAAGCTACTTTGCATTTACTGCAGAATAAGAGCATAGGAGTTAATGGAACTCTGATGTGACATAAGTTTACACCCTAACTTACTTTGTGGTAAATTGGTTGTATAGCTTTACTGTTGTTATAGCGTTGTACCTGGATCTTCAACCTGATACTGTTCAATCGGATCTGTTCTTTTTTGTTGCCTGTGTTAAATATTTTGATTCAATGTAATTTGCTGTTTCATTATTTGAATTTTGAATGTGTTATGAATTATATTATATAATCATATCATTTTTGCATTTTAATAGAAAAATAAGAGAGACCTCTATTAAACTACAGCAACAGCAAGAATTGTGGAAATCTGTATATTTAAAACAAGCTATCAGACTGGCAAGCTCCTTTTATAGAATGAAAACCAAGAAAAAATAAAACATTGTTTCAGAGTTTAAATATACTGTTAATGTACTGAGTATATACTTTGGGAATGTGTTTTTGATTTATACTGCCTCTTTGCAAAATGCCATGTAAAACAGACTAAATGTGATATTTATTAGATTACTACTTTAACAAAATTTAAGATTTTCATCACCCACAGAATATTTTGAGGGTATGAAGCTGGTGAAACAAATAAGTGAACATTTGTTACAGAGAAGGGAAAAAGACAGTAAAATTTTTTATTAAAAATTCAAAGCGATTTATGCAAAATTACCCTTTTCTTTCTTTAAATAAAATGGGTCCATTATGTCATTTTCTGAATCACTTTATATATGATGTAGGAAATACTAGGCTACTGTGCATATTGATGATACAATGATAAGTGTAGATTTAGTTATTTAAAGCAGGGGTGTCAAACATATAGCTCATGAGCTAAATCTAGCTCATGGGGCCCCATCATCTGGCCCCTGATGTTCTCCTGGGTCTAATCAGATCCATGCGGGGCACAATATGCACCTGTGGTGCAGAACCAGTCCACAGACCAGACTGGGCCCACGGACACCCTCCCTCTTCCCCTTCCCTAGCATACCTGATCCAATGGCTTGTTCCAGCAGGTCTGAGACTATGCTCAGATCCTACATGGATCCTGGAAGCTGGAACAGGCACTGTGTGCAATGCTGTCTGTCCAGAGCAGCAGCCACACTGCATGCAGTGCACCATGAGCAGCACAGATCCCAGACTGGCTGGAGCAGGTGCTGCATGTAGTGCACTCCCAAAGCAGCCAGGTGGCCAACGTGTGCAGCACGTCTGCCACTCTTGCTGGATTGCACTGCACACAGTGTCCATTCCAGCCTCCAGGATCCATGCTACATGCAGTGTAGTCCCAGGCCCACTGGAGCAGCCTCTGGATGAGGTCTCCTGAGGGAAGGGAAGGAGGAGGGTGTGTGGGGGCCTGATTTGGCCCGAGGACCGGCCCCAAGTCACTCATCTGGCCCCATAGGAGTTTGACACCCCTGGTCTAAAGGTGTTAGCAAAGTCTGAAAACCTATTACTGTATTCCACACCTTTAACAATAAAACAGACACATTATTCATTAAGTAAATTAATACTTGGTTATTTGCACCTAGGGAAATGTCCAGGTATTTATTGATATATTGCAGACATTGTTGTAAGGTGATAATATGGTAAGAGAAATGTCAACTATCTGACAGTGTAAACATATGGACTACTTAACTCCCATTGAGCTGAGGCTTTTCATTAGGTAGGCCACAAATTCTGTTTCAATGCAGGGTTAAATTAAGATCATCTAGAGCAGTGATTCCTAACCAGGATGCTGCAAGATCCCATTCAGGTTGTTGTGCCACCCGACCCCTGGGTGAGCACATAAGTGCTCTCCTGTCCTGTCTGGCATTTTGTGCCTGCCCCAGCTACCCCAGCAGTGCCTGCAGCAGTTCCTCAAAGGATTGCCACTGCTGCTGCCCTCCCCTGTCCCAGGCAGCTCCTATGCCAGCTGCCCCCACCCTCCCAGAAGGGCACTTTATAACCTGTCTCATCCCCTCCGCTCCTCAAACTCTCTTGGGACCAATGGAAAGGGCTACAGGGGCAGTGTCCTGCCAGGTCTTGGGTAGCCGTGTCTGGGTGTCACTTAGGATTTGAGGGGATGACTGGAGTCAGGAGGTGTAAGCAGACCCCAGGAACAAGCTGGATCAGAAGCCAGGTCAATCTGAAAACTGGATCTGGGAACAAACCAAGTTAGGAAGCCAGAGGACCAAGCACAGCACAGACTCGGAGGGCAAGCCAAGTTGGGAAGCCAGGAGATCAAACAACAGAGTAGGGTCTAGAGCTGTGATTCTCAACCAGGGTGCTGGGGTACCCTGGGGTGTTGCAGGATCCTTTGAAGGGTGTTGCAGGAAGTGTGAGGAGACAAACAAGATAAGGCTAGGCTCAGGCTCCAGGTGTGAGGAAATGAGCAGATAAGGGCAGGTTTAGGAGTTTTATGCCTGGCCTCTCCCTCATCCCCACGGCAAGGAGGTAAGTGCAAGGAGGTAAATTGTTTTTATAGTATTTAAAATGGGGTGCTACTCAATTCACAAAAGTTATGGATGAGTGCCTTGAGTCAAACAAGGGCTGCTTTGAGTGTAAGGTTGAGAACCACTGGTCTAGGCACAAGCCAAATAAGGAAGCCAAAGGATTGGACAGTGCAGAGTCAGAGGGCAAGCCAAGTCTGGAGATCAAACGGAGTGCAGGCAGAGGCACAAGCCAGAAGGAAAAGCAAGGCCATCTGGGTTCTGTGACAGCTGAAATTATGCCTGTGTGATAAAAGTGCTTGCTGAAGGCTCTATGAAGATTAGATCAAGTGTTTTTCTGTCATTTGTTCAGATATTAAGCTATATGTTGTTGCTAAGAGCTTATTAAAGTCTAAAATGTAGTAAGGCATTGTATGTAGTATGAGGCCTAGTAAATTTAGCAAAACCTTGTAGTAGTGATGGTAGGCCCTGTGGCATAATTAAAATTAACCTTATCAGAAGAACGCAAGGCTTGTACTGCTATTGGTCAGTCTAAGGACAGTTGAAGTAAAAAGAATCTGAATGGCTGTAAGATATCAGCATAGCTCAGAAGTTATAAATTGGCTGGCACATCCAGAAATCATTTAGAAGGAAGATACAGCTCTGTGAAAGGAACTACTAATTAGCTGTTGACCTGGATTGGTGGGCCCATGGATCTCGAGGAGCCCAAGGACTGAATACCAGGGTTCTTCCCGGTACCCCTCGGACAGCGCTGATCGGGGACGCCTGACTTCGCTGAGCTTTATGGAAAGAGAAACTTGTCATACATCAGGCATCAGAGGGGACTGCCGATAAGTTGCCGATGTGAATTATTATTGTCTGTCATTATTGTCTGTCATACTACGTGTAGTATACTAAGACAGATAATGTGTTTTTGTTAAGTCAATAAACCTTTCTTACCTTTCTACCCCCTGACCACACTCTCAATCAATTCCAAGCCCTCCGCAGGCAGCTGGGACAGGTTCAAATTGAGCCCTGTTGTCCAGACCCTTCTTTTTCCTGTGCAGAGGTTGATATGGAGGGAAGTGAAGGGCCAGCTGCCCCTGACTGGCCACTCCAGTGGCAGGGAGTGTGCAGATGGCTA